GTAAAGACATGGAATTCAAATTCTCTATTTCCTTTTAGCTTTGAAATCCCACAACTATGAGGACACCGTAATTAGACAACATTCAGTTTTTTGCACACACACACACACACACACACACACACACACACACACACCTGTAGAGGATGTTGTACATAGAGAGAGAGAGAGAGATAATGAAGATAATAGCGAATGACATCGTCGGCCCCTGACTTCTTCCATCGTCGAAGATCCAGTGGACTAGGTTGTGTACAGCACTACCCGAAACAGATTCATAGTGAAAAAAAACAACAACATTGGTTTTCAGGATAAACTAATTTGTAAACAGAAGGCAACGTAAGTGGACTTCCACTTTCGTGCCACGAAGTCAGCAATTATGCGAGTCAACCACAACGACTTCAGCAGAGTAGACGTGCACAAATAACAGCAGGGCTACATTGGAGGCCGTCGCCCGGTGGACGTCATCGGCAACGAGGTCGACTCACACGTCTTCTAAGAATGATGGCGACGATGCGACAGGGGTGCGCATCAGCGCGTGGATGCACCTTACATAAGGTTATCTCTCCCGGATAGCCTTCGCTATTCCCATGAGGGCATGGCACGTGAACTTGCTGACATCATCGGACGCCGCATAGTGTTTCTTTTGGGCGTCCACCTCGGACTCCATGATCTCGCACTGCCGCATCAACATTGAGCACTGCCTCTTGCTCGCGCTCTCCAAGGCCGTCCTCATCTGTGTGTCGCGCTTCTCTATTACATTTGTCAACGCCTCAAACGTTTGTTGCTTCATGTTCTTCCTTTTCGCCAACCCCACAGTGCTACCCGTACTAAACGAAGAACCTTTAGTTGACCCGTCCTCTTCTTCATGTGGCTCGCCACGTACGTCGCCCACGCCCCCACCATCGCCTCTTCCCCCTCCGAGTCGGACGACATTTCAACACCATCTGGCGCACCCGTGTCAGCGACGTTCCTCGAATGGATGGTGTGATTCTTTGTTGTCAATCCCTTGATCTCCTCATACACCGCCCGCTCCATTACGAAGTTGAATCTGTGTGATCTCCTTTCCTTGCCCGTCAGCTAAAAGTAGTCTGCTTTCCTGGACTCGTGCATGAACTTGTGCACCTTCTTGAATTGCTGCATCAAGTTGTCCCATTTTCTCCCGCAGTTCTCGCACTCCTACCGACGCCCACCTTTTTCAATCTCTCCTGAATATCCTGCCTTTTCCATTCCCTTGGCTTCATGCGGGCAAATGCGTGCCCCATACCCTCCAGATGCGCATCATGATCCCGTTTCGCTCTCACGAGAGCGACCATGTGCTCCACCGACCAGAAGCTCCTCCCACCGTCCACGTCCAGGTCGCCTTCACCATCGCTCCCGCCAGATGCAGTCTTCTTCGTCCGTCGTACATGCGAGGCAGACGCTTTCTTGCTTCTTCCCCGACCACCCATGGACGTCTTGCCCACATGCCAAATGTCCACAGCGGCCTCTTCGTCGTCTTCGTCTTCCTCATCGACGTCTTCGAAGTCGTCTACTTTCACCGCCGCCTCTTTATCTGCGTCGCTTTTGCCGACATGCAGCTGCCGAACCCCTCTCGTTATCGCGTCTTCACGATCACCACGAAGCTGCTGCCGATGTTCTGCCCACACCTGCCGACCCGTCCGCTCATCGACGTCGACTGCGAATCTGGCGTCCACACCCCCCACACTCCAGCGCCTTCCAGTCACATAACGTTTCGACAATGGGGATGGCAATTGCACCCGCTGCGAACGAATGACTTCGGGGCGTGTTGTCAGCGCCGACTTCGACTGCAGATAGTGTCGGTCCCTCGTCTTCTCTGCTGCCCACGATCCAACGGACGACCCCCCGACCGACCGACGAGCGTTGGATCACCCCAATCGCCGTCAGGGTGGGGATTGATGATGCCCGTACGTGTCGTCGCCACTGAGCTCTCGCTACACAGTCTGAATGACAGATTGGCGTCGGCATGTGCGTCTTCCTCGCCTATACCTTCTTCAAGCAGTTGTCAGTACGATTGTCAGGACGTCGTTTGCCGACTTCCAAAGAGCTGGCTCCCCGCCCAATCAAGCGTCGATCCACTCTCGAGCGCCACGGTGCGAGATCCTACCTCCTCCGCCTTGTCGTCCGTCGGCGGCAACGGAATTTCGTGCGACGGTAAGTGCGCGTACGCAGACGGATCGTACTGCTGTGACTTTCGAGCACCGCTGTGTTGCGCGTGGAGAGCGGGGGAGAGTGGACCAACGCCCTGCTCTTCGGCTGTCGGTCGTCCATGTCAACACCCTTCTTCGCAGAACGCCTCCTGCGTGTACGACCACGCACCTTAAGGTTGATGCACACGTGGAACAGGACGATGACGACAAGCAAAATAATGACCGGGAGCAGCACAGGAAACCTGCGATAGAGGTCGGCCATCAACGACGCGCACGACAGGGCCGCAACTTGACGACGACGGTGGAGGTCCACCAAACGGTGAGAGTGAAGGAGGCAAATAGAATAGGACAGCATACAACAGACGCACCGTAACGTTATCCGTCACCGACATTGGTTGGGCTGCTGGAGTCAGGTCCGACAAAATATTCAATTTTCCGGACCTTTGAACCCCGTCGACGCTGGCGGGAAACCTCGTGGAAGCATGGCGACATCAGCCGCAAGTGCTACATGGGCCTCTCGCGGGTCGTCCTCCAACTTAGTCGTTGGCGACCCATTGGGCGCAGGACCGACGGCGGCGGCCGAAGATGTCCATGCACCCGTTGGCGGAACACCAAATGGACGAGCCGAAAAAGAAAGCCGTCGCCGACGAGTGCGTTCGCCGCTCCGATTATCACGGATCCTCGAACCCCGAGGGACCTCATGAGGTCCCTTGCACTAGGGCGACAAATGCCTGTGCCACAAGGATGCTACAAGGATTCCTCGAGGAAATGTTTTCACATTTTTTCGGAAAAATTTTCCCAAAGGATAGGTGGAACGATCACATCCTTGGGCATTTTACGTGCCCGAAGAGTGTCTAACGAGCCCTCAACTCTTGCTGCAGCGGCATAACTTCCCATTCAGCAGCTGTCAGATGCACTCTTGAAAACGTTGAGAGTGCGTCATCGGTGCATTATTTTTTTTGAAAGGAGCTCTCACTCTGGTGCTTCAAGAGCTGTCTGAAACTGTCCCCCTCACGAACACTTGCCAATTTTGTAAGGGAGGCCGCGAGGAGCCCTCAAGCGTTCAAAATTTTCCAGAGCTGGTCTCCAGTCTCGGCGGACAAACCGCGGTGGCGCTGTCGAGTAGTATTCTATCAGGTTTCACGAGAGTGCTTCATGAGAGTAGAGAGTCGAGAGTGGAGAGTGGAGAGTGGAGAGTGGAGAGCGGAGAGTGGAGAGTGAGGAGAGTGGAGAGTGAGGAGAGTGGAGAGTGGAGAGTGGAGACTGGAGAGCGGAGAGTGGAGAGTCAAGTATCCCACCCTCTTACGATACTCGAAAGAAGCTAAGAGAACCGTTTTGGGGGCAACCGACCCGGAAATCTCAAAAAAGAAAAATGGGATCCAACATGCCCGGGAAGGCCGCTTCTTTCACGAAATGGATGGCGGACTTTTGTGGGCGGCGTAGACAAGTGTGGACCTCCGACATTCTGTTGGCCTCTTCTGTTGTTGTTCACAAAAGCCTGTGTGAACCATGCGGACAGCCGAAAAAAAAAAAAAAAAAAAAAAAAAACAGGCAAAAACTGCCCCTTCTTTTCCGCCACACAAGACAGGGGTGGCCACTTCCGTTTTTCAAAAGAACTACATGAACGCCAATCGCGGACGCCGTGCCACGTCCGCTTAAGTTTCCACATCCCCGGCAAATTCGACAATGCAGGGCTGCCACTGAATTGTCGGGAAAGTAGTCGGATCCCGTTTTTTACCCAAAACTACACGCCGAACAAGAAGTGGGATACTACCCTAAGTGCAGCGATGCGCCGATGACAGCACTCGGAACCATTTCCTTGGTCTGACAGCTCTCTGGGGACACTTGAACCTTTCCGTGGGTTTCGAGTAGTGCAGCGAGGCCCAGCAGGTTGTAATTACGCGACTTGCTCCACCACTCTCCACATACAGAAAAGACAAAATATGGAGGTGTATCTTTCCATGTTCTAGTGGAGAATTCAGTCTCATTTTGCAAATTTGGAGAGTAGTGGAACGAGGCCCTATAGAAAACTAAACACATGGAAAAAAGACAACAACAAAGTATTCCTATAGTCCCCACAGCACACTTTGCATGCTTTTGGACCCTTTCTTGACCGGATACAAGCGCAACACTGGACTCAATCCCGCCAAAAGAAGGGTCCAGGTGAATGTAGAGTGTTGTGCAATAGAGCAAGGCCAGTCGGGCAATGCTCGAACTCGAAACAGTACTCTTTTTATCCAGAACATGTCCAAATGGCGAGCGTTGTGTACTGGAATGAGATAGGACCGCCATGATGGGATGGGCCTGGCTCCACTACTCACCACACGCACAAAAGACAAAATAAATGGCAGTATATCGTTCAATGTCCCAGCGAAAGATTCATTGTCATTTTGAACATTTGCTGCGTAGTAGATGTCAGGGATCTGGGGCCTGGAGCCACTACCAAAGTTAAAAAAAAAAAAAAAAAAAAAAAAAAAAAAAAACGAGTGGGTGCTAGGGGCGCTGATAAAAGCAGATACCACTATTCTACGATGTGTGACAGTGTTTTTATAGTTTCTAATGGTTTTTGAGTGGTTCGACAGTGAATGAAAAAAACATTCACATTAATTTGCGTTTTTTGATAGGCTACCAGCTGGGCCGCCTGGGTCCCGGGTGGCCAGCCCGTGCAAAGACCAGGGAAGGTCCCAGCAAAAAAAAAAAAAAAAAAAAAATCCGAAAAACAACTACGTTATGCAGARAAATAAACTGAACAACTTTTGCCTCAGGGWCAAATCGAAATACTTCACCAAATGTAGAATAAAAAATAAACTTTTTTTTTTTTTTTTTTTTTTTTGGCCCGGCCGGGCAAGTAACCCCGGGCCACTCTGGTAGCCTAGGTTTTTTGTTTATTTGTCAAATTTATCATAACTGCCTCCCACGTACTGCAAAGTCGATGCCGCGTCAGACGGGATCTTCGGGTACCGATCTGTGTCAGACTTTGAGGGTGGAAGGCAGTGAATCGTATGGACAAAGCTCCACGACTCTCGAAATGTCCAAAATGAGAGTGAATGTTCCGCACAAACATGGAAAGATGATTCTGTCTTGTGTGCATGTCGATAGTAACTGCCTGCCACTTGGTTTTTTTTTTTTTTTTTAAGCACAAGAAAGGCATAAACAGCAACGCCTCGAAGTCTGAAAAACCGCCCCCCCCTCTTCCAAAAGTCTGGAAATCAAGACTAACATGAACGTCAAAGCAAAAAAAGAAAAACTAATTGGCGCACAATTTCACGCAGTGCACTGGTTGGTACTTTGTGATGGGCACCACAACAAAGTGCGTCAGGCGGCGCCGTCGATGCAATGTGCGATCTGCGGATCGCTTGTGTCACTCTCAGCCCCACGTAATCGAAAACACCACTAACGAAGGAGAATACTTTGCTAGTGGGTTCAAGCCCCTGGGGGGAGACGTCAATCACTTCTTTTTTTTTTTTTTTTTTTGCGTTGAACTTCGAGTCGCGAATACCACTTTTGTTTAGCTGTTTTCTTCTTTTTGGGAACTCGAGCGGCCTAGCTGAGTTGGCTAGGCCCGCAAGTGGCATTCAGGAGGTCGCGGTTTCAATCCCCACTGACCACCTCGCACTCTTAGTGCCAACGAACTGCGATAGTTGGGTGTTTTCGATTACGTGCGGCTAAGGGTGACACGTGCAATCCGCAGATCGCACTTTACATCAACGGCCCCGCTGCCGGACACACACTTTGTTGTGATGCCCATTACGACGTACCAACCAACGAACTGCCTGAAATTGTGTGCGAATTACTTGTTTTTTAATCACTTTGACATTCACGTTCGTCTCAATTTCCAGACTTTTTCGGGAGGGGGGCGTTTTCGAGACTTTGAAGCATCGCTTTTAACGCCCATTCTGCACTCAAAAAAAAAAAAAAAATGTGGCGGGCAGTTACTATCCTTCCCATCGGACATGGTGTTTTTTTTTTGCAGTAGGGACATAGAAGACGCATGCGACCTACATATGTACTACCGTCTTCCCCCGAACATAAAGCAACCTAAAAATGAATGTATACGAGCTATAATTCCGGGCAGATACAGCCAAAATAAGGGTGCGTTGTGTTCGGGGGAAGACGGTAGGACCGCTTCATCCTCCTCGTTGCATCTTCTGTTTTCTGTATGTGGTCCCCTTCGTCGGCTTTGCAGTACGTGGGAGGCAGTTACGATAAATTCGACAATTAAATAAAAACAAACGACATGAATGGTTTTTATTCACTTTTCAAACTACTTAAAAACCAGTAAAATCCTTCAAAAACACTGTCACACACCGTAAAATACTTTGCTAGTGGGGACCGGGGGCATGGTCCCACTTGCGCAAATTCGTGCAAGTGGGATCCAGCCCCAGGGCCCTGAATAACCCACAGAAAAATCTGAAATTTTGGGATCCGGTTGATCAGGTCGTGATCTTTCCAGGAAAAATGTCAAAAAAATAAAATAAAATTAATAAACTGTTTAGATAGTGAAATTATCACCGCACCGGATCGGTGCATTTTCCATTTGTGCCACTCCGCTAGCTATCAACGGAAAAGTACCCCAACTCCGGTGATTTTTCGCGCTTAGACCAATTGGAAACAAAATCTGAAAACTGGTGTCCCGACACACGTTAGGGATGATCTTTCCAGGAAAAGTATCAGAAAAATAAAATAAAAAAGTTTTAGGTAGTGAAATGACTGTGGCGCATTTCCCATTTTTGCCACTGAGTTGGTTCTCCACAGGGTCCTACCGGTAGCCCTCACTCGTGTGTGTGTGTGCTACCCGCGGGGCCTCTTTACAAGGATGGACTCCGGGTGGCCCTTCTGGCAGTTGCCTGCCCCCTTGATGACAGAGACAAGAATATTTGATGGGGTAAGAGAATTTTGTTGATGACCGTCTTTTAGCTCTCTGCTGGGAACAGAGACTTAACGTTGACGTGACGAGTCCCGCTCATACTCGCAAGAGCACGTAGTGCACACGGTTCCCGACGTGCAGCACACGCACCCGGCTGTTCCCGCGCGGTGCATGACGTGTGGTTCGTCAACCCCCCCCCCCCCAAAAAAAAAAAAAAAGGCCGCAGGTCGAAACGGCACATTTGAGGCCCCCTGCCAAAATTTGTAACAGGACCAAAAACAAACGTTTAAGGCCCACACTCAAGCCCTGGACCAAGCGAGGTTTCGAATGCAGCTATGTCTACGGCACGGCTAGGCCCCTGGGGTGGGTTTCCGGTTGCAGCCATTCGAGCCAGGATGCAGCTGTGGTGCTGCCATTCGAGGACTGCCGTTGCTGTGCTGAAGTGGCTCCATCTCAATGTTCGAGGGAGGAGCGCCACTGCGCTGGCATTCGAGGGGTGCTGCCAGGTCACTTTTCGAGGGAGGAGTCCTGCCATGCTGCCGTTCAAGGGAGGAGTGCGGCCATCAACCGGTGATACTCACCGGCCTATCGA